CACAATCCAGTTTTTTAACCAAAAACATTTACACAGAATGTTTCCACATGTGGTCACTCAGTTTATACTGCCTTGTGCTTTAATAATGGAATAACATTAGAGGGAGGGACCCTTATACTTTAAATAGATTTTCTTATTTTAAAATAAGTCCTTATTGACTTTATTTTTCATTTATATGAAAATATTACTCACCCATATGCTTTTTGCCAACAAGACAGTTTCTCAGTTTTCTTTTTTTTAAAGAGATGGATAGGTTTATTCTTTTAACTTCCTTTGCCCACCTCTCAAAGACCAGCACTCCTCGGTGGATTGGCTCACCATCATGCTCGAGTCCCATTTATCTGATGTGTTCCTGCTGTCCTTCGAGCAGGAATAGTACACGTTACCTCTTCCGTTTTCCCCAATGCATTGCTCCTCTTCTTCTGGCTTCTTTAACTTTTCATAACTTTTTTTTGTTTTATTACCTTTTTTGTTTTTTAATTACAGTCAACATATTAGTTTCAGGTGTATAGCATAGGGATTAGACATTTATATAACTTACAAGGTGATCACCACAATAAGTCTAGTACCCACCTGACACCATCCATAGTTATTACAATATTATTGACTATAGTCTCTAGGCTGTACTTCACATCAGTAAGCTGTGGCTGTTTTTATAACTGGCAGTTTGCACATCTTAATCCCTCCCCCCTTTTCACCCCACCTCAAACCCTACCATCTGGCAACCATAAAAATGTTCTCTGTATCTATGAGTTTATTTCTGTTTTGTTTGTTTAATTTGCTTTCTTAGATTCCACACATAAGTGAAATCATGTGGTATTTGTCTTTCTCTGTCTGACTTCTTTCACATAGCATATTACTCTCTAGGTCAATCCATGTTGTCACAAATGACAAGATTTCATGGTTTTATGCTGAGTTATATTCCAGTGTATGTATGTACCCTATCTTTTTATCCATTTATCTTTTGATGGCCACTCAGGTTGCTTCCATATCTTGGCTTTATTTTTTCTTTTTGTCTTTATTCTACCCCAAACCAAAATTATTGGTGAGGGAGGACTGGACCTAGCCTTGGTGAGCTGGTCATTATATTTCCCCCACATTAAATCCTCTTCTCCCTGTGTTTTATGGCTCCATAGTAGACCAGCTCAAATGATCTGAATTGACCTTCTGCACCAAACAACCCACTTTATTTCACTCCCTGGAGCGGTAGTGAGTTTGTCTTTGGTCCCATTTAAACTTCGCTCTAACTTTGGAAGGGCTACTAGAAACAAGATTAAAAGAGAGGCATCACGCATACCTTGTTAAAAGAGATAGTGAGTACAGAGTGCCTTAGAAGGGAGAAGCTCCTAAAACTAAAGTGTAATTACGTCATTTTACCATGATGTTGAGCCCCAAACAAGCTAATCACAAAATTGTCTTCCAGTTTTCGAGCCTTATACATTAGGTAATATTTAGAGCCTGATATACATTATAGCCATCTTCATAACAATGTGGTATCATGGGGGGGGGGGGGGGGGGGCTGGAAGGAAAAAGCATTAACTTGGTTAAAACCCCCCACTTACTGGTGTGGGGGTCTTAAAAAGTTAATTTTTTTGGGCCTCAGGTACTTTACCTGTAAAATGGGGATGATATTTTTTTACAGGATTGGGGTAAGTATTTTGGGGAATGGGTTAAATTACGTGACATTCCCCCCTTCTCAAAATGACCTGGGCAAAGGGTTCTGAACTAGGAAATGCCCAAAGCCAGAAAAAAAATAAGCCATCTCTTCCAAAAATGTCAATCAAACTTAAAAATGGGGGGGGGGGGGCAGGGAAAATTTTCGTTTTTACATAAAAACAAAAACATTTTGGGAGGGCTATCTTAATTTTGAAGGGAAAACTCAATACATTAAAGAAATGGCATGCTTAGGACAAGTCAGCTTCAGTCATACCCCTGGCGCCCCTGGCATCACTCCTTGGCCATCAGGAGTCTTTCATGGGGAAGGTGAGAAGCACTGGTACATGAGAGCGTCTAGCAAAGTCAGTATCACACAGCACAGTCTCATTTAACTCCCATCTTCATCTCATGAAGGATCCAACTACATTTCCCTAGCACATGCTTGGTGTCTCCTCTTAGGCATGGCTAACACTGAGCTCTCCATCATCCCTCCAAACCTGATTCTCATCCTGGGTCCCCTACCTTAGTAACGGACAGACATCACCATCCATTCACCTATGCAAGTCAGGAACCGAAGGAGTTGTCCTTGACCCCTCTCTCTTTCCTTCACATCCCACGTCTAATCCTTCACCTTAAGTCATGGCATCACTGCCACCTTCAGGTGCCCTGAATGCGTCCTTTGGCTCCATCTCCGTCACCAGCACCTTAGTCTAAACTGCCATCATCTCCTGCCAAACTGACCTAATCACCTACCACTTGGCCTTCTTCCGACCCATTTTCCTCACTAAAGTGGATATGATCTTTCAGATACTCAACTAGTATCATTTATTCCCACTGTCCTTAGAATAACATAGTCCATGAGGCCCTGCATGCTCCAGCCCCTCTGCCCATCTCCACCTGGTGCTGGTGGCTGCAGTTACATCAACTTGCTCTCCTTTTGTCCTCGGCACCATGATTTCTCCCTCAAGAACCATTGCCCAGTCTGGAGTGTTTCCCCGAAGCCCATGCCTGATGGTCAT